GTAATCTACGTTTCTGAATACGCGCTGCGGCATACCCAAAACAAAGCCTGTATACCATCCTTATTTCATATGGCTTAGGACAATGCATCAAAGCATGCGGGTTCACATATGCAGAAAACGTAATACTTCAAGTCGAAGGATAGTTACACCCGTGGTCGCGCTAAAGATGCTTAGAGCATGAACTAAAAGTTCAAGCAACATCTTTAGGATGGGTCAGTCCGGCATCCTATTATCTCTAGATAATATCTGCCCATGTGTGGATGCGAACACACCGTCATTGACTATGAGACTAAGTCAAACATCCAACACACACTAGTCTCACATGCATTAACGATATCCCACTCTCGTTAATACTCGACTATGGACATTTAGATAAATATTTATTTCAAGATGTTAGTCTCATCAGCAGAAAAACACTATCTGATAAACATCTTTTAAATATAAATCTAGGAATATAATATTTGTTTACATTAGGATGAGATGTGTAAACATATTATATCTGCCTATACATGATAGAATAACGATAAACAGTTGGCCATCAGGGCACAACTCCAACAGGTTGACCTTAAGCGATGGTAAGTTTAAGATTTGAAAACTCTTTTTAAAAATATATCTTAAACTAGGCCTAGCTTAAGGATTAGAATATCTTGAACTAGAATCAATTTAAGAATGGAACTGGCCTTAGACTAAGCATAGTTTAAGGATATTGTTGAATATTGAATATTGAATATTAATGTTGAATATCGAGATATTGAAATAAAAATATTGAGAATATCATGAATGAATTATATATTGTATGCATGATATCAAATGGTTCTTTGTGAATATTAGATTCAATTTATGTGGATGTTCGACACTTTAAATATGCTTACTCAGCTTCACCGCTGAGCGTGTAGTGTGTTTTATTTGCTACACGCAGGTAGGCAGAATGAATGATTGGCATGTTCCTGGAAGCGGAAGGGGCGAGACTGTCGTGGTGGAATTTGTGATTTTAAAATGAATAATTGCGTTGTTATTAAACATAGTTTAAATCGCTTCCACATTATTATTAAACAATCTGTATTTTGCTACAGTTATGTATTGAATAATATTTATGATGAATAAAAGTGTTGAAATGTTTTAAATTATCATGATTAACAAATCAATACTTTAGTCCGAAAGGGGCTGGAGACCTGAACGGATGAGGGTGTTACATGCAAGGAGGCTCGGGCAGGAGTGTGGGCAGGGGTACGGGTAGAGGCACAGGCACGGCTCGATCCAGAGTTGTCTCGGTCTCCGGACTTCTTCCGGAAGGTGCTATCTTGAATGATCCAAATCTTCGTCATCTTCGTATCTTGTTCGGCGATGTGGATGTCGGAGGCGACGATGATGTCCATGACGAGGAAGGCGTACGGCAAGCTCCACTCGGTGGCGAGTGAGGCGCAATCCGCCATGTGTATCATGACAAATTTTGCCCAATTGATGGAGGCTCCGTGGATGATTGCATGAATCGCCTTCAAATACTCGTTGAAGAGCGAGGTATGGCTGCTGTCCTGGGGGCGAAGAATCCAGGTGATGATGTAGAGGAGGAGGCGCTTGTCTGGTGGGGCCGAGTGAATCGTTGGCGCGCCGCTGTGGCGGATGAGGTTGGTGATCCCTAGCTCTCGGATGACCACTGCCTCGTTGTTGAGGATCCAATCGTCGCCACCATATGTCGCGATGTCATCGCCTCGAATGGGCAGCCCTGCGATCCGTGCAAAGGTCGAAAAGTCAATCTCTATGTCATAGAGATTGATGCTGTTGTGGATGGTGTCCCCGTCGCGGCGGAGATTTGAGTAGAAGGCTCGAACGAAGGCGGGATTTTAGGACAGACGGCTCCTGGAGACGAACGACCACAGACCCGATGCTTGAAGCTGATTGTCGAGGTCGTGGTACCCCTTTTGTTGAGGGTATAACTCGGGCAGCACCCTAGGCGGAGAAATGGGACGCTTGGCGAAGTGCGTGAGGAACCGGTTGAGTTCCTCCTCCGACCCGAACTCCAAGAAGGACCCATCGAGATAAGGGAATGGCTTTGGCGCAGAGCTTGAGGCTTCGACGGTGACCTTCTTCTTGGAAGCCTTTGATTTTGATTTTCCACCGGCCATTGTTGAGGCGATTGAATGAAAAAACATGAAGGATATATATAGGGAAAGGTGTGGATCTCGTTTGAATTCAAAAAATATGGCTGTTGTGCATTTAATTGGGTGCCCAACGGCTATTAATTTTTGAACTGCAGATGCCTTCCCAGCGATGGTAGGATCTACCCATCGATGGGAAGGTCGCCACTGGAAAGCGAGGATGAACCCATGATTGCCTACCCAGCGATGTTTGAATTTTCCCATCGATGGGAAGGTGGCTTCTGGAAATTGACGAAGAAAAGAACATGGCCTTCCCAGCGATGTTGATACCATCCCATCGCTTAGTTGGTGGTTTTGAAAATCTGTTAAAAAAAATTTTAAAAAAATAGTGTCAAACACCCAGCGATGGGAGGAAGTTCCCATCGATGGGTAGGGGGGTTTTGGAAGGAATTTTTAAAACGGATGTCAAACACCCAGCGATGGGAGGTTATTCCCATCGATGGGTAGTGGAATTCTGGAAAATCAAAAATGTTTTAAAAAACATTGAGTCAAGTACCCAGCGATGGGAGGGAGTTCCCATCGATGGGTATAGAGGTTCTGGAAGGAAAGGACTTCCCTCCGAGCGATGGTATAAGTCACCCATCGCTGGTTCCCCCTGACTTCCTAATTCCCTCATTTTGAACCGTGCTTGCAAAAAAGAACAACATTTTGGTGCCCAAGGTATGTCTATGGGTCCTTGAGGGTTAGTTGACACACACACCCAAAATTTGTTTCCTTACGCGCGCGCACACACACACACACGATTAGATGATCGTTTAGGAATTACCTTGGCGAACCCGTCGTCTCGTGGTTGGCGGGTTCCAGTCTACCTGAACGGAGTGTCGATATCTCGGTGTGGTCTGTGTTGGTTCTGGTAACGGAATTTTGACTTTCTTCTTTTCGTCAAAGTAGAAGACATAATACAGTTTCTTTTGTGCATTTTCTTGTGGAGATTGCCTATGATACAATATCCTTTTCTAAAGGATTTCTTTTCGTTAGCACCAAAAATGTTGTGTGTTTCATTATAGGTGGAGTGCCTATGTCTAGTAAAACACACGGGAGCTATATGTCCTACATATTGCAATAATAGCATACTACGTTTGGGTTGAACATATGCCTAGGTTAGTAATAGCTAGGGGGTCTAACCATATTTATCCTATTTTGAGAAAATATTGGTTTTTGGGCATTTTGAAGATTCTCTCTTCTAGGTGTTCTAGCATTATTTTGTCTTTTTGAAAAATCAGTTCTGTGCATAAAATCATTTTGATAATTCCTCCTAGGTTGTCTAACCTTTTGTCTAGGTTGTCTATTATTTTTATTTTTATCTTTCTTAGGTTGAGCTCTAGGTGGTTAATGGTTGTGCTCAACTTTTTCTTTATTTTTGGGTTCATCAATCTTTCCAAAACCTATTCCTTGTTTAATGTATTGCATGGAATCAAAAATGAGATTAAGATCCTTATGTGGTTTATTAAATTTCTCCACCGTGTTTTCTAATTCAGCAACTTGTTCTTTTAAAGCTATGCAAGAGTCACAATGTTTTGTAGAGCTCTCGGGTTTGTCGGCGCTTCTTTTACCATAAAATTTATTTTCCTCTTTTAGTTTTTCATTTTCCTTTTGAAGTTTTTCAAACTCAGTTTCAAGATTAAAAAAATGTTTCTTTAAAGCTTTGTTGGTTTTAGAAGCGCTAACAAACTCGTCATAAAGCTCTTGGAGAGCTTCTTGCATTTCTTCAAGAGAATAAGAACTGGTAGAAGAAATACGCACCTCTTGGTTTTCGTTGTTGGCGGACTCCTCTTCTTCTTGAGCTATGAGACAAGGATTTGCTTCTTCTTCTTCCTCTTCTTCGCTTGATTCATCGCCGGAGTCTCCACCCCACGAGATGTATGCTCTTTGCTTTTTGAAGTGACGAGCATTCCTTCCGCTTCTTGGGCATTTGTTCTTGATGTGCCCAGCTTTACCACATCCATAGCACACAAGGTCATCCTCAACTTTCTCTTTCTTCCGTAGAAGTTTACAAAACTTCTTCATGACAAGCTTGACTTCATCTTCGTCGCTTGAGTCATTCATTGCCGGTTCTTTAGAGGCTTTTAATGCTATGCCTTTTCCCTGATCATTCAAAGACGGGTTAAGTATAGTAGATTCATACGTTTTTAAGTTACCTCTTAAACCGTCGATGGTGACATTTGATGTGTTGATTGACTCATAGATGGCATCGGCCTTGGATCGCCATTCGGATGTCAAGCTCTGTAGGGTCTTTCGTACAAGATCCTTGTCGGTGTAAGTCTTCTTCAATGCATGAAGATCGTTGACTATCTTGGAAAATCGGTCGAACATGTCGTCAATCTTCTCATGCTCCTTCATCCTGAACATCTCAATATCTTGGGTGAGGAAGTCAATCTTGGCTTCACGTACTTGGTCCGTTCCTTCGTACGTCACCTCAAGTTTATCCCACATCTCCTTGGCGGTTGAGCAACAGGAGATCTTGCGGTAGTCATCAGGATTTACGGCACAATAAAGCATGTTTATTGCCTTTGCATAGTTCTCAACCTTTTTGATGTCCTTGGCATCAAACTCGTCTTCGGTCTTTGGGACGAGTTTTTCACCAACCTTCTTCATTGGCGTTTCTTCGCCATTCTTGATGACCAGCCACAATTGGAAGTTGGTTGAGCGGATATAAATTCTCATCCGCTCTTTCCAATATGTGTAGTTGGTGCCATCAAAGAGTAGTGGCCTAGAAGTTGATTGACCTTCTTCGATCCCTGCATAAAGATTTCTAGAAGAAGAACCCATGATCGATTTACTCTCAAACGGTTAAGTTTGGACGCTTGTTAGGCTCTAATACCAATTGTTAGAATAATAGACCAACGCTAGAGGGGGGGTGAATATCGTTTGATCGTAGAAATCACAGGAATTAAAAAATTTAAAAGAGATGTAAAGAGAAGAGTAAGAGGCACACCGATTTTACCCTAGTTCACCACAACTTGTGGCTAATCTAGCCTCCCGAGAGACTCTCTTCAGCTACACTACTATCTCGTTTGTTGGAACACACTTTGTACGATAAACTAAAGTCGTGTTCATTTCTGATAGGTTTTGATATTTGCCAAACCGCCGTCGATATAAAGAGTTTCATTGAATAACTCAAGGCGTGAAGAATGACTTGGAACAAGACCAAAAAGACTCAAGGACAAGATCAAGAATTGAAGACTTAGTCGAGTCGGTCTTTTGTGATCAAAACCGACAATAAATTCAAGTCTCGGTTCTCAAAAAGTCAAAACAATTTTTACAAATCACAAAATATTTTTTGTGCATCAAAACAAACATTTTTGATGATTTCTTTTATTGTTAAAATCCCTGGTCCTTGCTCGGAACCGAAACCACCTAAGTCGGCGTTCGGCTTTCGGCGTTCGGTTTTTGGCGCCCGAACCAACTCCGTGGTTTTCAATATTTTAAACCCTGTTTTTACCTCTGAGCAATTTTAAAATGTTCCCAAATAATTATTTTATAAAAACCACTTTTGTATCTTGGTCAATCGGTCTAACACGTGAAAAATGGTCAAAACCGTACGCACGTATTGTACGACCTTGGAGACTTGGTTTTTACCAAACAAGTATTGTTTTCACTATTTTACACCATATACAATATTTTTCAAACCTGGTTTTTACTTTTGGGAACACTTCGTTTTTGGACCTCGGTTTTTCAAAACGGGAAGCACGCAATAATCGATTATCAGCTATGCAATAATCGATTATCAGTCTTTGCAGCCAAAACCCAGAATCTTCTGAGAGGACCAGTAATCGATTATCACTTGTTCACAATCAATTATTTGGGTTACCGTTGTCCTTCAACGGATAGAATTTTAAATTTTTGGACAAGGAATCTTTTGATAATCGATTATCAAGCTTGGATAATCGACTATCAGCCCGTGTTCGTGAAAAATTTGTCTTCATCCTTTTGGAAACTCTAGCAACGGGTTTATCCCAATTTGGGCTATAAAATGGCACCCAAATCCTCTCATTTTACACACAATTCTTCAACATTTCAATACTCTTTCATTGCATAATCATTCCTAATTTTCTTAGCTATTTGAGAGCCAATTCTTGAAGAAATTGTCGTGTTCTTGAGCATTTACTAGTTCACTCATATCTACTCTTTGTGAGAGTTTTATTCCTGAGTGTTTAAGTGTTTTCATACACATTAAGGGAGGTTGTTCCCTTGTTGTAAACTTGAAGGAAGTTCCTTTTTCCTTCGTGAGAAGTCTTGGAGTGCGGTATCTCCGAGCAAAGGTGTTGAGGCTCATGTGTGACTCGGGTTCTCAAGTTGTATCGGTTTGTTAAGCACCCTTAAGCTTAACGGAGTTAGTTTAGCTCGAGAGAGTCTCTCGGGGGGCTGGATTAGCCACACGTTGTGGTGAACCAGGATAAAATTCGGTGTGCTCCTTCCCTACGCTCTTTACTTTAACGCACTCGTTTTTAATTTCCTGTGATTTTATTTTAAACACTCTTCACCCCCCCCCTCTAGCGTTGGGCCTTTATTCTAACAATTGGTATCAGAGCCTTACTCTCTGAAAGACTTAACCGTTTGAGAGAAACGATCAATGGCTTCTACTCAAAACTTATACGCAGGTTTAGGAGAAGGGCAATCCACCACGAGGCCTCCATTATTTGATGGAACGAATTACACATATTGGAAGGAGCGAATGAGAATTTTCATCCAATCCAACAACTTTCTCCTATGGAGAATTATCAAGA